TTTCAGCTATTATTCACATATAGAACTTCTCAATGGAGAAAAGAGTTGGTGTCAGAAGACTTCTAGAATCACAGATGACTATTTACAAGTTGATCTGGGAGCAAGGCACACAGTCCGCGGAGTCGCCACACAAGGGAAGGTAAACGGCTCGTATATAAAAAAAAGCTGCAGGGTCTCCTATTCTACTGATGGTGCTAGTTGGACTGCATATAAAGAACAAAACGTCGAAAAGGTATGAATGGAGGCGACCACTTTTCAGCAAACTGTATATATACCTCTACTTCATATATATTCTGGCCATAGGTTTTTTCTTTGAGCTTCATGGCTAAGGAAGGATTTACCAGTTAGCAATAATAAAAACTTATTTAAAAATCATAACTTAGGGGATAAAGAGTAATCTCTATTATTTCCAAGATTTTTAGTTTTTTTTTTTTTTTCACATTTTTCAAAGTGGTTACAATCTTGTCCTCCTCTCTATCGACTAAGGGAAAATATTCAAGCTCAAGACAGATCTAGAAAACAAATGATGTTGGTGGAGAATCCCTTTGAAGTAGCTTTACTGAGACTTCATTTTCCCTAACAATTAAGTGTTTTGTTTTTTTCTTGGCAGACCTTTGACGCGAATTAAGACTTAATACCATTGTAAAGCATACACTGAATAACCCAGTCCAAGCAAGATACATTCGATTTTAATTACCCGGTAACCTTTTCGACATTCCCTGGTATGAAGGTCGAAGTGTTCGTGCAGTAGACGAGAAACTCAACAACAGTGCAATATTTCTGCTTGAAAACTCTTTAGTCTTGTGGAAAGGAATGGTGAATGCCATAAGTAGGCTTCATTGTGGGAATATTCAAACCTTTATGATTGTTTCCTACGAATATGGACCGGAAGTGAATGTGTACGTGAGATGCAAGTATCGTGTATTTTGTAGTTACATTTACGGTTGGATTACAAGCGTGTATCAATCTTATTTAAACGTGTGAATGTGCTTGTTATCTCAAATAACAGATTTTATAATTGTACTGAAATTTCTCCACCCAAACCAGGGATTCATTATTTACCTTGCGTGAAAACGTTTTCCCTTGACGTTGCAAAAAGAGGATCGAAAAAATAAACGAAAATATGATCTCTTCGCATTCGATACAATTTTCTATTTATAGGAATTAGAACCGGTTGAAGAAAAAATTCTATAGGATTGAACCAATGATGGTTCTATTCGTGTTTTGTTGTGTACTATCGTATGCTTTTGAAAATAAATGTATTTTGACTCGCTTTAGTAGTTGTCATTATATTATTAGAGAGTTAAAAGGACGACGGGAAGGAGGAACACATGTTGTCGTCCCCTTTTTCTCTTCCTCCACGCACATCTCGTGAGCGTTTCTCTCCTTAATTTTTAAGAAATAAGAGTATACAGTAAATAGAGGCCACAGTTAAAAACATAACAGAAAATTTAGAGCAAGACTGTGTGGCTTTTTGAAAACTCAGCGATATACAAATATTAAGTATCTCATTTAAATGCCTATCATCATATGTCTATCAGGTCATGATAAATATCAGTATTTGATGAACAAGCATAGTATATATATTATCGAGCGGCCCGATATTCCTATGGTTACAGATCAATTTCAATTAAGTTACGTTTATGAACAGTGAAATGATTATTTTTCTGCTGATATA